GTATGCATATTAAATATGAAATATTTTAAAAAAATAAACAGCAAGGAATACTATTACTACTGAGAGAAATTGCATTTTATTTGCTTTATAGCTGTAGAAATTCTTCTAACATGTTCCAGAGAGTGCTTGACATAAGCACAGGACATAACAAAGCCAAAGAAACTGAGCAGAATGCAGTATCTGTTGCATTTATTTATATATATATATAGCTATTGGTTAATAGTCAGTCCTAAACCATGAAAAAAGATCTCAAAAGATACTGAAGACAGTTATGTTTTTGCTGTATTCAGATCATACATTCTTTCTACAAATTTCTGTCATAAGACAGAAAAAGGTGTTAAAACAATGAGTAACAATCTATGAAATAACTTTGAGAAAGACAGACAAACAAACAAAAACCTTTCAATATACTTGTCAGCAAAAGAGAACACTAAGAACATGCCGTTTTAGCTTGTGAGTACATTCAGGCTGGAAAATAGAAATGATTTTACTATCTGAGTTGTGATGTTTTAGAACAGATGGGTGAGAAATTGTAGTCTTAAAATCGAGGTTGAAGAGTTTATTAAATTTATTATATGATGAGTAATACCTACGGTAGACAGAAATGGAGACTAATACTCTGTTCTAGAATTCTGTTCTACTCAAATATTACTATATCTTTCACTGAACTTTCTAAACTAAAGTCCAGTCTCCTGTTGATACAGGGCCTGAAATTTATGAGTATTGTTTAATTTGCTTCCTTGGCTTGCAATATCTGTTTACACTGTTTCTGCAGGGTCTAAATTCACAAAAAAATCGTCTTCTGACCCTGTGTTAATGCGACAGTTGTGGATGTTCATAAACTCTGATGCAGTGGCAGCAATACCACTGAATGAATCATTGTATCATTACAAATCTGCTTTTCTAAGTAAGGACTAGGTTGGCTGTGGCTACTAATGAACACAATGAGAAATCCTTTTCTTGGTTTTGAGGTACTAAATTCATTATAGGCACTGCTGTACTCTATAATTTAGATAGCAATAGTATTTACTCTGTGTCCAAAACTAAAATGCATCAGATTGATTAAAATAGCATTATTCTGAAGAGTAAACATTTTGATAAACTTTATTATCTCCTTTCATTATGGAGAGAAACAATGATGGCCCAGTTTTCCACTGTGTCATAAGTACTTAGAAAATAGCATTTTGTTTTATATTCTTTTAGGATTCCATCTTATATTCTTGAGTTGACCAAATACATGGGTAAATAATTAGTTGTTCTTTGCTTCCCCCCCCCCCCTTTTTTTTTAATTGTTTTTCAATTTTTCCTTTCATTATTTCAGTAAAACAAAATATTACAGAAACTTGTAATGTTACATATGGGTTGGGAAGCTTAATTAATGCCTTTTTATATTTCTCACTAAAGACGGTAAATTGCTATTAAATATTGTATCACACTTAAAAGACAAGCACTTATTTCTTCTAAATATATACTGATGCTTTATGCTACAGACGACTACTTAAAATGACTTTGTCAGGCATTGAAAGACATACAAAAGTAACTACTCAGCACTTGGAACTGATCAAACAAAATCTGTTAAAATATAAGTTGAAGTACTTTATCAGACAAATACAGCACTACAAAGCAAATTCAATGGACTCACCTGTGCCCCTAATAGTAATAAAGAAGAAAGAAGCCACTAAAACTGTTCCCAGAATAATAAAAATGTTAAATATATACCCTTTAGGAAGCTTCCCATTTGGAACTGTAACTCCTCATATGAATACACTTTCAAGTAAACATGCACCAAATACATTGAATTATCCTGTTTTACTGTGGTCTGTTTTAGGGAAGGTATATATCATTTCACTTCTTCTGCAGATACCATAACTTGAAACAAAACTGTATAAATGCTCTCCAATGGGCAGAAAACAATAGAAATAAAAGTTCTTAGCTCTAATTAAAAATGCTAGAAAAGCTATTCTTACAATGAAACCAAAGCTTTAGATAACTTCATTAAATGACCATAGCATTTGAAATTCAAGGAACAAATGTTAGAAATACTACATGAGAGAGGCAAAGATGTCTATTATACCAGCACTCACTACAAGCTTAGCCATGTTTCAAATACAAAGAGTTTAAATATGAGGTGTACAACATGCTCGTCTCATATTTTTTCTAGATTCCTTTTATAGTAAAAGGCTGTTTTAGAATATGATTTATTTGCCATTTATTTGTTAGGTTGTGTGATAAAAAGCTTATTTATACACCCACAAAAGAACCCAGAGAGATAATGGCAGGTGAGGGATCCCAGATAATAATACCCTTCCCTGACTACTCATCAGGCCCATCATAGTAGCCATTAGCCCATCAAAAGCCCATCTCCATCAACCCAGAGGACTGCAGAGGCACAATGGCAGTGGAGGGAACACAAATGAGGGACTCAGAAAAAGGGGCAACCTGTTGAGAGCCTGGAAGGCTCTTAGATACAGATGCTAGCAACTGCAGAGACTGGAATCCAGGGCCAGGGCAGTGGTTAGAAGGATGTGGCTGGAGGGATGCACCTTGTACTTATTTATATGTATATTCTCATCAGCCAGCCGCTATCCTGCTTAGCTAAAGAAGGGAGAGGGATGAGACCGCTGGTGTTGTTTGTGTGAGTGCTCTGAGTGTCTGTGTTGGTGTGTGTGTGTGTGTGTGTGCAGATGTATAAAAAGTGTTTCATATATATGTGTCTGTGTGTACCTACAGGGAGTACACAAGTCCTTCTCTCCAGTGCTGCTCTCAATGAGTTCTTCTCCCAGTCTGTTCTCATGTCTGGGATTGCCCCAGCCCAGGTGCAGCACCTTGCACTTTGCCTTGTTGAACCTGGTTCACATGGGCCCAGTTCTCCAGCATGTCCATGTCCCTTTGGATGGCATCCCTTCCTTTTGGTGTATCAAGTGCACCACTCAGCTTGGTGTCATCTGCAAACTTGCTGAGGGTGCACTTGATCCCACTGTTTATGTCATTGATAAAGATATTAAATAGTAGTGGTCTCAGGACAGACCCCAGTAGGACACCACTCATCACCAACCTCCACCTGGATATGGAGTCGTTGATCATGACTCCCTGGGTGCAACCTTCAAGCCAATCCCTTATCCACTGAATGGTATGCCTATCAAATCAATGTCTCTCCAATTTGGAGATCAGGATGTCATGTGGGACTGTGTTATAGTCCTTTCAGGATTCCAGGTGGATGACAAAATTGGTCAGTCTTCCTTTGTCAGATGATTCAGCATCATAGAAAGTCACCAGAGATTGTAAGGCATGATTTGCCCTTGGTGAAACTGCGCTGGCTGTCTTAGATCACCTCTTTGTCTTGCACGTGCCTTGACATTGCTTCCAGGAGTATCTTTTCCATGATCTTCCCTGGCACAGAGGTGAGGCTCACTGGTATTTACTTCCTCAGGTCCTCCTTTCTACCATTTTTCAAAATGGGAGTGATGTTTCTCAGAAAACTGAGAACACTAGCTCAGATGTTGACAGCTATATCTACTCAGATAGATCTCAGTTTTTTTTTTTTGTTTTGTTTTGTTTTGTTTTTTTCCTTAACACCTCCTCATATTCTTTAGGTTAAGGTCTTTATGGCTAAAAAAAGGTACACAGTGAAATTTCTACTGTTTTCTGTTTCCTCCTTTCTCATTTCTTGAGAATTTCCTCTTGTTATTTCACCAGTTGTGTCTGTAAATCTACATATAATAGAATAAAAGTATGTATCTTCAGATGCCTTAGCAACTATTTTTTTTCTAATTGATTCATCTTTCAATTGTTCATAGTAGAACATCTTTTTTCCCATAGCTCTCTTGTTCAGACATCAAAACATTCATGTACTCTGTTCCTGTTCAGTGGGTGGCATGACTATTTAGTCATATTTGCTTACAGACAAAATTTCTCAGAAATGGATCTCTGAAGTAGTCCTCTTAACACTGCAGTTCAGTATCTTCTAAATATAAGTCCAGTCCTCTCTTGTGAGCATGAAGACTCTAAACTGAATCAGTGAGTATTTTATCATTCATTATGAAGTGCAGGATAAGTGCCTCACAGAACAGGATTTGGTGTAACTACAGTACAGAAAAGGCCCTCACATTTTGTCTGTTACTTTCAGAAAGCTAGACTTTTTGAAACTCTTGTTTACTTCAAGCAGTCTTCACTGAATGCTCATAGCTCTTGAAAACAAAATCATTTAGCAAGCATTTTTTAAAACACATAATATAAAATGAAAATTATAACTGTTGCGTGTCTCACTTATTGATCAGACATAACACATAGTCTCAATGCTATGAAAAGGCTATTCCCCTCAAACCAAGATTTTACATCAATAAATATCAAATTTAATGATATATTAAAATGCATCTTAATAGTGACATATTTTTGGAAAGTAAACCAGACTTCTTAGATGTAAAGTGGATCAACCAGAAACACTTGGCAGCTGCTGTAGTTTTAGTTTCTTTCCTTCATCATTCTATAGAGAAATCAAAAACATTGTCTCTTCAGCAGATGGTAAGCATTCTTCCAACATACCATCTCCATTTTAATTTGCAAGCACTCTGTTTTTTGTTTTTGTTTGTTTGCTTGTTTGTCTTAAAAGCTTGATTAATATATATATATTTAATCCATTACTCAGATATTCCTATGACAGAAATAGAAAACACAACGGATAGACTAATAGCTTGAGATTTAATGTAAATCAAAATGAGCTTGTTTTGCATCTGAGCTGTCTGTAACAGAGGATTTTTCTGAAATCTTAAAATTTTGAAAGAAAAACATCTTGGAGCTAACTGAGGAGAGCACTACACAGGTCATAACTGTTCTTTTGATTGCCATGTCTACTTCTCACTGTTCAGGTTGCCATCCCTTTGATATTCATTTTATTCCTATGTCAATGGTGCTACTGAATTGATCCTCATAATACTTTACTAGACCTAAATGTGATTTAATCATGTAAAAAATATCATGGGCAGCATTGTGTCTTACAATTTTTTATTTAATTCACCAGGGCTTGCAGAGCTTAAACATTATACAATAGTGTAAATATAAGGCATCTTTAGACAGCTGAGGAATGTCATTAGAAGAATAAAACAGATTTTAGTGACTTTACAGTATTCTTCGATTTCAGAAATAATCTGAATTAAAGGGTTGAAGTCCCAATAGGATCTCTCAATGATTGCAGAATAGAGATAACAAAGCAGTCTCTTCATTTCTCTTGTTCTTCTGAGGTATCTCTGCTAATGGTTGCTGATGGATCTGGGTTGCTTGTTCTAATTATACCTTTTGACTGTAAACTGAAAAAATATCTTTCTCAGTTGTGTTTACATAGTTAATAAAATAATATATACTATACATAACATGTATCACTATTAAAAGTAGTCTCATTACAACTTGCTTGCTATGTCACAGAATCACAAAATGGTTGAAATTGGAAGGCACCTCTGGAGGACATCTAATTCAACCTCTTGCTCAAAACAGGATCAGCTACAGAACATTGTTCAAGACTATGTCCAGTGGGACTTTGAATATCTCCAGCAATGGGGACTCTACAACTTCTGAGAAACTGTTCCAATGTTTGAGCAACTTCACAGCAAAACAAAACAAACCAACCAACCAAACAAACAATAGCAAAACATTTTTTTTTTCATTCTGATGTTTAAGTAGAATTTCTTGTATTTCTATTTGAGACAACTACCTCTTGTTCTCTCACTGAGCACCACTCAGAAGAATGTGACTCTGTCTTTCTTGCTCCCTGCCATCAGGGATCTATATAGATAGATAAGATCCCTTTGAGCATACTCTTCTCCATGTTGAAAAGTCTCAACTGTCATTCTCCATTCCTGTAATCACTTCCATGGCCTTTTGCTGGACTTGCTCCATTATGTCTATGTCTCTTTTCATTACAGAGCCCTGTACTGGACTCAACACTCCAGATGTGTCTCACTGTTTCTGAAGAGAAAGGAAAGATTACCTCACCTGTTACCAGCCTGTGCTAGTGTTCCATGTTATTCTTCCAGATGTTCAGGACTTGGTGTTTCCCACTGCTGAACTTCATGAGGTTCTTGTTAACCCATTTTGTCAGCCTGTTGAGGTCTCTCTGAATGTTTCTGAATAACTATTTGCTATGTAAACTATTTCTCCCACTTTTGCTGTGTAACATTGCATAAGGTTCACTTGGTCCCATCATCCATGTCATTAGTAAAGATTTTAAGGAGCAATAGCCCCAGTATTTCCTCCTGGGGTACACCGTGGATGACCAGACTTCAGCTGGAATTCAGGCCACTGTCCAGAAGCCTTCCTGTTGTATCTGTCCTTATACTTATCTTCCACCCTAAAATTGTCCTTTTGTCATGTGTTCAAAGTTTGGAATCCATCTGTTTAGAAGGACTCCAGCTGAACACCTAAATATCACCACTGAAGACAGGAAGTTACATCTGAGCATGAGAGAGCACTTTACTGTGAGGGTGACAGAGCACTGGAACAGATTGCCCATAGAGGTCGTGGAGTCTCCTTCTCTGGAGACATTCAAAACCTGCCTGGATGTCATCCTGAGCAATGTGCTTTAGGTGATCCTGCTTGGCAGGAGGGTTGGACCAGATGATCTTCAGGGGTCCCTCCCAACCTTGGTCATACTGTGATTCTGTCATTCTGTGATTATCAAAACCAATATTAGTGACAAAACCATCTCATAATATTGATCCTCCAATTTAAGTACATCTCTAAAAGAGTGTTAAATCATCTACTGAAACATGAAATAAAAAGTACATTTTGAAAAAAGCACAGTAATACTTTCAAGTGGTCAAGCCCTGCCAGAGACTACAGTGGGTATACAAGCCAATCACAGCATATCACCAAGTTTCAGTGTCTTTATCAGTGATTTCAGGAAATGATGATTACCTTTTACTTGGGCTCAAGTCTCAAAAGAAATCATTCACTAATAACTGTAAAATGATTTGACATTTATGAATTAAAAACATCAAGTGATTAACAAAAATTGCTTGGATTCACTGTTGTGCAGTGTACCAGTGCAGGTTGTAGGTACAGCTCTTCCCTCATTTTGTGGAACCTTAAATTCTGCAAAGTGGTATAAATCTCTACTTCCAAAATACAGTTCTTTCACTGTCTCATTTCTAAACACAGCTGCTTTCTGTGCTTGTCCAACTGACTTGGGAGGACATCAAGGCAATGCCACTGCAGAACCTTTCAGCGTTTTGGTCTGGTAGAAAACAATTGTGAGTGGCATTGTGTCAGGTGAAGACAAAAGCCAAATGGAACAGAGTTTTCCCTGTCTTCAGAGGGATGTGGTACTCTAAATTAGATTAGGAGCATGACTTTAATATAACAACAATTGACATGTGAGAGTGTAAGAAAGATGTGGATGCTGCTGCCATAAGAACCCTCAGAAGCCAAATGTCAAAACAAAAAGATCACACCTGCATAGCTCCCTGATCTTTGCAAACTAATAATGTACAAATACAGGTCAGACCTGTAAAAGACAGAGCTTTCTCCTTCCTTCTGAGTCAATCTGGTTAAAAATAAACAAACAACCAACAACAACAACAAAAGTTTAAGTGCAACATACTTGTTAAGCTATGTATTATTTATCAGTAATAAATTGGGAATTTTAAGCTCAGCTACATTTACAACTCTTCAGTACCAGTCACATTTAACATATGTATCTTGAGAAAATGATATTTATAAAATCGGTTTTAATAATGTTGCTGCAGGAGTAAGGACAGGCTGTAACAAGAGAAATGAATTAAAAATGCTCATGCATTATTAATACTGAATATATAATGTCTATCAAGGAAGGAACTGCAATAGTTTAATAAGATACTATTCTATGGATATTGATGTGTCAATAACTCTCAAGTGATTGGTATATTCATTCATACCTTATTAAAGATTTACTGGTGCTTAATTCTAAGCAAACTCTAGTATGAGACTTATCTGGAAAAAAGAGGCAAACTTTTAATAATATCTTCTCGTTTGTTTATTTTTAATATAATTTATCGAGTAACACTTTTGCAGCAAAGTGTTTGTCACTCAGACTGAAATGTTGTTCATAGTTTATTAAAGATTTATTGCTGTTTCATCCCAGAGGAACACTTGCATGATATGCATTATAGAATTCTAAAGAGAGCAAAGTAACAACAAAGAATAGCTCTATTCATTAATATGTTATTGTGTGATTTTAAAGTATGATGCTAACATTTGGGACATTTTCATTTATTCACTGAAAATGGGATAAATGTTTTTCATATTTTATTAAGTTTTCTGGGGAATTTCATTGATGAGCATTGTTGAGTTTGGCACTCTTGGCTGAAGATACACTGTGCCCATTTCTTTCAGAGAGAACACCAAGGCAGCAGAGCAGTTAATCCCATAAAAGAAAATCTGATTTGCTTGTAGTAATCTAACATAACTAGGTGAATGACATTCAAAAGAAAATTAGCAGTATGTAGGAGAAGAAAAGGTAAATGCAGAAGACAGGATATCTAAATTTATTTAATTCCTGTTGTGAAAATTTGCAAATGCTGAACTGCAGCTGAAAGACAATAGCGTACAAGAAGATTCTGATATAATCTACTGATGTAAATGGAGATACCCCAAAAAATCATTTAGGTCATAGTTTTTCATGATGCAGTAGCATGGCACAAAGCTTTTTGTGGGCTATGAAAGGCTTGGTACAGCTGTGAAATTAAAGGTTCTCATACTGAAATGTGCTTTTCATAGTTTAACATATATAACAGTTAGTTTTGTAAATCTGTGCAAAGTGAGAGTAAAATGATAACATTTTGTTGTAGTTATATTTTAAAACCATCTCTCCTTCACTTTTCAAAGACAAAATGTCTTCACCAGGTGTAAGTCACTAAAAAAAAAAATAAAAAAATACTCCTAGTGTATCACTTCATATTTCATTAAATATGCTATATAAAGTTCTTTCTTGCTCTCAACTACCTTATTTGAATCTATATCTACATAGAAAAGTATGCAGTACATCAGCATGTGTAAGATCCAAAGGAAGAATTAATATATCCCTAGATACCTTTGTGACTGATAGAAAACCTACTGTCCTTCAATGACAACAAATAATGTTTGCCCTTCAATTTCTTTTTGTAACCCATTTTAGCTGTGAACCTTTGTAGGTTTATGCAGATTTAATGCTTCTTCTCAGCAATCATGTATTAATTTCCAAAACACTTAGTAATTCAGTCTAGCAGATAGCTGAAAAAAAAAAAAAAAAAAAAAAGTAAAAAAATTCTAAGCATCAAAAGTTGACTGAAAAAAGCAATTTTATACAGTTTAGCAGTCTATAAAAATACAAGTAAGTAGATATCGTAAATCAATAATAGAATACTGAAACTTTTCAGAACATAATGTAACTAGGCTAAAAAGTATTGCAGATATAACTCCTAGCAAATCTTTCAAAGCAGCCTCAATTAATCTTAATTTTTACTGTAACATTTATCAGAATTAACACACGAAAGATTATATATGTGAGCTATTTATATGATAATGAAATTGTATAAAATCTGCACTATGCACGAATCAAGCATTTATATTTGCTTCCCTTCTTGCTGTGTTTATTTAGCTCTATTTGCAACATCGTAATTTATTTTCATATGCCATACTTATGAAATAGCAAAAGTAATCTATAGAAGTTTTTATCCATAAAAGGGACCATACTGTTAAGAATTTTATAGTTCCCAGTGTACCCACAGATCAGCCATGTCAGTTTAGGCAAGTGGTAATCTTCTTTGTGCTCCTTTTTTTTTTTCATCTGTAAAATGGGAGATTTAATGCTCTCCATATGTATTGCATTATAAGGATAAAAAAATCCATAATGATTGTATAACTTTCAGATATTATGCTGATAATTATATGTGCTATAAGATTAGATAGGTAAAGCACAATTTCACATAAGTTATTTTTCACTTTAAAATCCTGTATGTCCAGTTATCTAGTGAAAAGATTTCTCTATTTTAAGAGAAATTTTGATTTGCTATGTATAATTTCTAGAAAGAGGTATATATACAATTTATAAATATGCACTTTTTAATTTTAGAAAGTCATTAGCACTCAGTTTTTGTCTCATACATAAGCATGCATTTATACTACTAACTACATGTGAACAGTGTAACAAATTTCATTCATAGGATATTAACATAGTTTGGGAAAGCTGAGGTGTCTGTAGTTATTCTCATTACTTTACCAATTCCTAGGAAAGTTGTAAAAAAAGGCCCAACAAATGAAAATAAACCACATTTAATAAGTGGACATTTGATAAATC